ATTCATCAAGTATAACATCAAAATTCCCATCTTCCCACCAAAAGAAAAAACAAACAAAAGAAGAAGAAAATAAAAAAACCTCAATGGACTAGCACCAAAGAGAGATTTATAAATCTCTTAAATACAACTTCAGTCCAGTTCAGTTTCTTTTTCACCAGCTACACCTTAGTTATGTACAGACCCCTGACACTACCCCAGCACAGCACTCCAGGATCTCCGCAGCCCAGAGCAGCTGGATTAGTTCATTCCAAGGTCAGGAAAATGAGGATCATGCCCTGTGTGTGTCAGGGGCTCAGGAAGAAGCTGAGGGACACCCCAGCCATGAGGTCACCACATCCCTGAAGGACTGCAGCCACCTGATGATGCCTTACTGAGCAGGAGAACAGAGCCAGGAGGGAAAACCCAGCCTGGGAGCAAGACCAGCCAGAGGGAAAAGCTCCTCACACTGCACCAGTCACTGCTTGGGGCAGGTTTGGCTGAAGATGCAGCTCTGATCTCACCCCAGCACCAGCCACGGCTCCACTTGAGAGGGTCAAACCCCAAAGCAACCCCTCTCCAACCCCCAGTGCCTCCTGCATGCTCTGCACAGGGATGGGTGCTGCATCTGGCCGTGTGAAAACACAAACACGGCAGTTTGGGATAAAACAGAGAGAACAGGCAGGAAAACCTACAGCTCCTGTACAAGGGGTACTCGCTGGACCTGTGCAGCTTCCAGATTCTGATCCCTGCTCGCTGTGGAATGCTGAACACAGCTTCTGCATGGAAAAGCTGAGGCAAAGGCCCAAAGCCCCTGCTAGAGCCGGGAAGGGAACTGAGGATTCCTCACATTCCCTACCCACATTTTTAGCCACTGAATACTTTGTGGCCGCACAACGGAAAAAGCAACACTTGCAGATTCCAATCCCTTTTCATTTTTCCCTTTACAGAGTTTGCTTTAAGGCACATTCCAGCTGAGGCTGAATGAGCTGCCTCGGTGCTCTGCAGAACAAAAGGGAAGAGCTCACAGCATCCAACTACACAGGAACAGAGCTGGTGGGATTGCTGCTCCTTCCAGTCCCCAAACACAGCTCCCACCTTTCCCCCCAGCACCCATGGGTCAGGGACCCTGACATGCAGCCCTCAGGCTCTGCCCCCTTCCTCTATTCCCAGAACACACCCTCCTGGCTAAACTGGAAGCAACCCAACCAGAGGAGACTGTCACCATGTCCCCTCCCTGCTGTCACTGCCTTGGTCCTGGGGAAGTTTTACTGCCTGAAATTTAATGTGTTTTCAATTAAAAAAAAAATCTTTTTAGTTTGCACAGTGGCTGTTAACTCCACATCCAGAGAATGTTCTGCCTAATGCAGCACCTGGAGAGGTGAATGCCAATGGCTCAGAATTCCCAGTGCCACGGCAGTTCTGAGCTGGGGTGTGCTGGCCCTGCTGACCTCACAGAGCATGGACAGCTCGGCCAGTGCTGCTGGCAAGTGGCAACACTGGCCTGAGACAGGGCAGGCACAGCTGTGACACCGAGGTTCCAACAAACCACTCAAACAATCCATCTTTGGGAAGCCACCGGAAGTACTTTACTGAATTCCAGATTTAAGGGAGAATGGAAAAAACCCTCCCTTGCTTTCACTCTTCTCTCCCAGGAAAAGGCAGCACCTCCCAGGCCCAGCCAGGCAGCACCCACCATCCAGCAGGGAAATCCCCTCATCCCCACCTGGGGTCACCACTCTGCACTGCAAAAGGGTTCCTCTCTCTGAAATGTGCCTTTGAACAACCTCAGCGTGAGCACAGCCACATCTGAAACCCAAACCCACCCAACAGCAACCACCTCAGTCCTGCCACGTGATTTCCAAGCTGCCATAACCAAAGAACCAAAATCCCCTTTCCACCACAACAAATCCTTGTCTGGGAGAGACTCCCCAAAGCGAGAGCCACACACTTCCAGCCCTGCTGGGTTTCATCACCCTCAGCTCTCTCTGCAGAGGGATGTCCACCTGCCTCTTGAGTTCTACACTTCATGTAAGACCATCACAGAGGTTTGGGATCTGACAAATCCTGCTGGAAGGATCGAGCAGCACTTGGACACACAGGTACTCCAGGGGTGTCTCCTCCTGCTCCCATGCTCGAGTCACCAGCCCCTCACTGGTGTACCAAGAGTGGGGCATCCTTGGGCCATGCCCACAGGAATGAAAAGCAGCAAGGGAAGAAGGGACCCCATTAGTGACATCACTGTGCCCCTAAGGAGCTGCAGAGGGACCCCCAGGACCCAGAGGTGATGAAGAGCAGCAGCCCCTCCTCAGCTGCACCCTGCTTATACCCCAAACCAGCATTGGAGACCTGCCAGGACAGGGGGAACAGACAACTGCTGCACCTCGCTGAGGGTGTCTGGGGACACCTTCTGTCGTACCCAACTCCCAGCAATGCCCCGAGAGCACAGCCAGGCTGAGAGCCAGCTAAGAACTCCTCCCACAGCATGCTGAGACACAGAGTGATGCTCCACGTAAGGGCCAGGCCAGCTGAGGTAAGAATCCCACTATCCAACAGTACCAGTTGGGAACAGCAGCAGTTTTAACACGGCTGGGAGCCCCAGGCTCATTCCCTGGGGTTCAGCATGCTCAGGACAGTGGCCCCAACAAGGAGATCGAGCAGCACCGTCCAGACTGCAGAACCAGAGCCACCCTCCCCTGTGCCTCACACAGACAGGGTCAGTCCCAAACCAGTTAACACCAGTTTAGATAAAATCACTCCAACTGCTGGGGGTGCAGCTGCACCAGCTCTAGACAGAACCTCAGATGCTGAGGAAGATGGGAATTGTGTGGTGCAGGGAGAGGTTCAGGGAGCAAAGGACTCGGGCTTGGTCTGAAATCTGCATCTCTTCAATCTAGGCTATTCCTGCCCCAGGAGCCATTTCCAGTTACAAGGCATAACATCAGCCACTCCGTGGTAACAGCATCAATCCATGCCACATTAAAACACTTTCTTGGCACAATTTATTTTTTCTGACCCAAACAAATAAGCCATTAGCAAGTCATTAACAATATTCTACCCTAAATTGTCAGTTTAACAGCCCTGTAAAAACATTTTTAGTTTAAAAACAAAAGTGTGCATGCTGCTGATATTAAAACTGCAGTTACTCTTTCAGGAGTACCAGCTGTTTTGTTGCAAAGCATTTCCAACATACTAATCTGTACAGTAGAGACCAAGACTCGTTGAAGGCAGTAGATGGCTGTGTCAGGTGCCTCGCAGGGCACGGGGACAGCAACTCTGGGAATTTCTTGGACACTTCCAGATAGAATTATTCAAGCCCTTTTGAGAGTTTGGTTCAGGCTGACCAGCACATAGTGAGAAAGGATTGTACATTCGTCTCTAAGTTGAAGTGAGCTGAACTGGTGTAATTTAGGCTCAATTCCAGACGCTTGGGTTTGAGCTACTCCTTGAATAATGGGCTGTTCCTTACGCGTGGTTTTCCATGTCAGCGATCACTGGCACTGCTTTTGGCCTTGCTACTCCACACCGATGAAAGCAGGGAGAACAAGGAAAGGAACAGAAGAGGATCTTAAAATGAACAGCTTCTTGCCAAACCAGCAAGGATACCATTCCCCCTTGTCCCAGGCTCCATGGATATTTCTATTAGATTTTCATAATGTAAGCGCTTCTCAGGAAGAGAGAAAACTCCAGAACAGTGAGTGTTTATTAGAATATTTTTTGTTAAATAAAGAGCAGGAAAAAAAAAACGGAAAAAAAAAAAAAAAGTACTGCAGATTTAATTTCACATCTTGGCTCTGCTCTGACAAAGGAGAAGTTACTGAACTCAGCAACCACTTCTTGTCCCAAGCCAGGGATTAATTAATGCCCCTCCCAAAACTTGTACCTGTCCCAACCCACCCCCCCAACCCCAACCCTTCCCCTTTTATTTCCCAACTAGACAACACTGTTGGCAAATCAAGACAGCATGAAACTTACAGCAATAAAACAACAAACCCCTGTGTGAAGTGTGCCGACGCATCGGGGAGCTCTCCTGTGCTGCTGCCCCGGGGAATGCTGCCTGCAGGAGGCAGCTGTACCTTTCACGGAGGGCACACCTCGAGCACGCTCCACACTGCACCATAAGTGCTGCAGAACCACAGGACGAGAGACTGAACACCTGAATTTTCTCCCCCCCCCGCGGGATTCCGTGGTTCTCCGGTGAGCACGATCCGATGCTTCAGCACAAAGCCCGAGTGTCCAGTTCAGCACGGCGTAAGGCATGTGGACAAGAGAGACGCGAGCAGGGAGCAGGGACAGCGTTGGTGAGCCACACTGCAGTCAGTCTGTCTGTCTGTCTGTCTGTCCGACCCCCCCTGCAGCCCCCATTCCCACTGCAGCCGGCGCCATCCGGGCGCTGTCACAGCTGCTCAGGCTGGTTGGTTTTGGCCAGCGGTTCCAGACCAGCTCCGTGCGGTTTTGCTCGGGTGGAAATGCAGAAACGTTGGCAGAAGCTGTCAAAGAAGCCGCAGGGATGTCTGCAGGTGATCCAAACTCTGCCCTCAACTTCAAGTGTCACTGCACTAAATCAGGAGATACTGGATTGGGGAGTAAACTGGCCCAGCCACTAGCACTGTCACAGAATGTGTGTTTTTAAAAAACAGAACAAAAGGCAAACAGATTAATTATGAACCCTTCTTTTCAGAAGCAGACCAGGATTAAAAAAAAATTCCCACAAAATTAAAATGTTAGATCTTCCATCTAAAAAAAAAAGTTTATACAGATGTGCTGCAAGCGATCCCCACACGGGTCTGAGCAGCACCTTACAGTACAGACTAAGACTTGAAAAGCTGATCTCACATTGGAAGTCTTTTAATTAAAAAAAAAAAGTGGCTCTGGCTGGGGTGACACGAAGGGGACACTTGGGACACTTCAGAGCACAAGGCAGAGGCGGGGCTGGCAGCCTCCAGGCCGTGGAGCGGAGTACCAGGAAAGGGGCACTTCATGCACAAAATGTATTTTACAAAATACAGAAAAGAAAAAAAAAAAAAAAAAAAAAAGCAAAAAAAGCCAACGAAAAAAAAAAAAATCATCCCACCTTGCACTAAATCGCAGCACTCTGAACACTTGCTCTGTCCCAGGCGGCTGCCCATGCCTGGTGTGAGGGAGGAGGCATGGAAACAGGGAGGGGAGGGAAATCCAGGTCTCAGTCTGCTTTTGGGAATTGCTCTCGCAGGGACCTCGTCAGTCATCTGATGTCGGACACGGAGCTCTCGGAGTACGGCGTGGTCATGACTGGGGTGCCGTTGTTGGCCAGACAGCCTTGCCTCAAGGTCTCAAAATATGAGGCCTGCACTGGTTTATGATACTGCAGAACTTTTATGGCATCCTCTATCTTAAACCATTCCCTTTTCCTTCCTGGGGGCAAAGAGACAAATCAGTAGATGCAACAGAAGGATGTTCTCCCCCTCCAGCCCCACACTGACTGCTCCCCATCCCCAGGGACAGGTGTTTGTTTGGGGCAGTACATCCCCTGTCTTGCATTTCTAAATTTAAAAAACAAACATTATTTTGCTATTTCTACAATTTCTATTCAAGCCAAATGCTCATTTTACAACAACTCACAACACACACGTCAAGCACCACCCAATTTCCATCCATTTGCCAGTGGACTTCAGTTTCCTGTGGATAGCTCTCAGTTCTTACTCTTTCCATAAAGAACCTGAGTGGAGTCATGTTCCATTTGCTGCAGTGCAGTCACAAACCTTGTGACAACAACAGGTTCATTCCCACTTGGGAATCCAATTTAAACACAAAGATTTCAAAGGTAACAGGGAATGATTAAGCCACACTGCCCATGTGTATTCCTCTACTCTCACACAGGACAGTTCTCCATGCTCTTTGCTTGGTACCTTCCAGTGCAAGAATTAAACACAAAATTGCTGCAGAGGCAGCTGGACACTTACTTGGATTCTTCTGGGCCACAGACGTGACAAAAGCATCAATTTCACCACAATATTTTTCCCAAGCAACCAAAGGACACACCACTGCAACTTTTCCCAAAGACACTCACACAGACTCCAGGTGCCAGAGGGATGCTGAGCTGACTTGTGGTTTGTTTCCATCAGTTAATGCAGCATGCACCAAGCTTACCAATATTGACAGAGTCCTCCCAGTCCTCCAACACTTCGGTGACGATGAGTACGTAAACATAAGTCCTGTGCTTCCTGTCGCGGTTCTGGAAGGCAAAGGGGACAGAGTAACAACCAACCAAGAGCAACAACAAACATTTTTAGGCAGGAGGGCACTGGGGACTGCAAGATGCAAACTGCCCACCTTGGGTGCAGCTCCTCCCACAGCACAACTCACCCTTAGCTACTAAAAACTGTTATTTTAAATCAGAGAGGTCTGAAAGTGTTAATAGGGACACCCAAAAGTGTAGTTCCTGATCTGTGGAGCAGTGATTTGTGAATGTGCTTACAAATTAGTTCTTCAGCTGGGAAGGCTCTGACCTATTTCACGAGGGTTGAAGGAGTCAGAGACAGAACAACAGCAAGAAGAGCCGTGTCTGGTACCTGCTGACTGTGCCAGGTGTAGCTGTGAGTGCTAAAAATGAAGGAGGGACCCCATTCCCCAGCTTTTGGCAGCACCAAGAATATTCAACCACACCAGTTATCACCAGTGATTTCACTGAAGTGCTCATTGCAAAGATCAGAATTGCTGAGAGGGTGTGTTTTTATTTACCAGGGACCCTGAAGTTTGCACCAAACCAGCATCCACTCACTCCATAACCCTGCGGAGCCATTGATTTTTTGCAACGAAATTTCACACCGCCCAGGTCTGAAACTTACCTCAAAAATTCCCACTAATCTTCCTAACGTCCCTTTCACTCCAGCCTAGGGAAGTTCAAAGAGAAAAGAAACATGCTTTAACAACAGCTCAGTACGTGTTTCCTACTTTGTGTGCAGGGCCAGTTCCTTTAGGACAGGAAGCAAATGCTCTAAAATTCTGCTCATCTTAAACCAACACAGTCACAAGGCAAAAGGCAGAAATTCATCCCGAGCACTTAACATCCATGCATTCCCAGGGCTTTTTGTTTTTTTTCCTTGTTTTCCTACATTCAAACAATTTTGAATTCAATCTGGAGGAAGAAGAAATATTTGAGGAGTTACTCCTTGCATACCAATACAGTCCTCGTGACCAGAATCTCTTCTGCAGGTTATTACAGCCTGAGCACGGGGAACATTTGCTTTGGGGTTTGGCAGTTTTACCCAGAGTTTAAGGAAAAAAAGTATGTGTAGGACATTCACTTACACCCCAAGTGATGTGACAGTTCCCAGGTATTTCAGGGTGTCCTGCACACACCTGAAAGAAGCCAATATAAACACAGATTGCTCTGATGTGGTCCCAGCAGCAGGAAGAAGAGGGCTTTGGATATAACACAAAGGGGAGATACATGCTGAAATAAAGCTCTTGAACCAAGCAGAGACAAAAATCAAGAGATCTAAGCAACAGTTTTGTCTGTTTGAATACTACTGAGGATGTACCACTCCATTACATTTGGTGCCCTTTTGGTACCTCTCTGCTGGCACCCTCCCTGCCCTCCTCAGCTCTCTGTGCAAAATCCCAGCCCATTCTCCTGCCTTTGCTTTATATTCCCTCTGCTTTATGACTGTAAATGGTTGGAACTCAAATGCTACAGACAAGATGAGATCTTGCTCCATGATTTAACAGGTCTGAACCAACCCACACAGCCTGGCACACGACCCAGCCACAACTGGGAGGTAGAGTCGGCTCCGTCTCTGGCAGCTGGAACACATCCCATGAACAGCCCAGGGAAATTGTGCCTCTTGCAGATGAGATACACAGATCTGATTATGCCAGGCTTCTCTTTTTTTTAAAAAAAAGATGTTTGAATCACATTAATGATAAGACAAAATCTCTGTCCTACCGACCAGCTGCTGCACAGTCTTGTGCTGTCAGAAAGGAAGAACTTTCTTTAATGAGATGATTGTCCTGGTTAAGTTCCAGACTACTGCACGAACAGGTACCAAACAATCCAGCCAGAGCACACCTCACTCCTGCTTCCAAAGGGTGCTGATGTGGAACTGCCCCAGGAGCAAAGGGTTTGGAGCTGCCTCCCTACAAGCAGTCACAGGAATCTATAAATCCTCTTGGTAATGCACTCACTGAGCTCCACTTCCAGGAAGTGAATCAACTGAATCTTGTATTTCACTTCTGGACACAAGCTTTATTGTCTCACCAGTACTTGTGACATCCTGCTCAGCCCAGAGGTGCCTCACTGACTGTGACTCTGGGGGCTATTTCTGGAGTGAGCAGCAACTCCATGAAGGAGCAGCAATTCCATAGAGGAGAAGCAATTCCATGAAGGAGCAGCAACTCCATGAAGGAGCAGCAACTCCATGAAGGAGCAGCAATTCCATGAAGGAGCAGCAACTCCATGGAGGAGCAGCGGCTCCATGAAGGAGCAGCAATTCCATGAAGGAGCAGCAATTCCATGAAGGAGCAGCAATTCCATGGAGGAGCAGCAATTCCATGGAGGTCGGTGCCCACGTGCCCAGGACGAGCCGGGCAGAGCCTCCTGACCTTTGCAGGCGAGCGATTCCACCTCCTGTGCCAACCCTGCTGACCTGGGCTCAGCCTTCTCAAGGCATCTGGAATGCAAATGCTTCAAATGCATTTCCCTCAAGGAACTCCTTCAGCACTGGGATTTATTTTTAGCTAAGCTGTGTTCAACAGGCAGCAGAAACACAGGGAGAAACTGGAGGCTTCCACCTTCACAACATACGGACATGAATGCAGTAAAAAGTGAAGCATAAGCAAATATTTCTGTAAAATAACTGTCTTAAGCCAATGCTTCACTGGTTCCTGGAAAAGGTTGTTGAATTTCTGCTCTCCCTACCTGTAGGCACTGAATCAGAAGCCAGGGATTTTGTTGTGATGGTTTAGTGAACTCTCAAGTCTGACTAGAAATAAATTTATCTCCAGGCAACTGGCCAACCTGGAGATGAAGGATGAATTCTGCTCAAGCAGCCTCCCAGGCAGTTTATCCCAGCTCTAGAACTGTGCTGGAAGTAGCAGAGGGAGGTGAGGAGCCCTTCCTTCTGTGGTGGTAAAGAGAGACGGTGGAAATAACACTGTCTGCAAACCAGGATCCTCCTGCTCTGTCTTGCCTGGTCTTATTTGCCCAGAAAGGCACAAAAAAAGATGCAAAGACAAACATGTCTTGTAGAAAAATCACATTGAATTATCATCAGACAACTGCAGAAAGCTCTGAGCTTTGCTTCATGCACGAACTTCTCATGTGCAGTTGTAAATGGCAGCATAAAAGAATGGTTTGGTTCAAAAAAACCCATTGGGCTGATTTTATAAAGCAAAAGCCTGCAAAACACATCAGCCATTGCTCCTGTGGGCCAGTGCCTCTCTCAGCCCATTTTCCAGGTACAGTGGATTTTAAAGTCAACATACAGGACACCCAACACCAACAGGATTGTCATACACGTGTTTTTGATAGAGCACTAAACTCTCACACCAGCAGGAGAGTTGGTCTCTGTACAATGGAACAAACAAGCATGCAAGTGGAATTCACAGTCTCACACAAATTTCTAACATAGAAGTTGCCCAAGACACCTGAGAAAATCACCTACAGCTGTTACCTCTAACAGGTCAAGCTGGGTAACCAGCAAGAGAACTGCCAGGCTCCTCTCTGGGCAAGCTCCCCATCTCCTCCTTTCATATGGGCCACAAGCATTTCTTGGAGAGTTAAGGCACAGTCACAGGCTCACCCAGGACTGCAGCAGGCTCTAAATCTTAATTTGCAGCAGATGACTCAGGAATTTTCTCCTCAATTGTAAATGAATTGAGAATGCTCTGCCCTCCTGGGCCAGAACAGGGAGTGAGGCAGAGGCAGCACAATTGATTTTGTGCCCCTCTAAACACTGCAAGTGCTGCAATCCTCAAAGTAATGGAGAATCCTAGGAGGATCCCCAGAGGATGCTCCTGAACCCATCAACAGGGGTAGGAGAGCACCACACCAACTGTTCCAGCTGCAGGTGTGGAAACAAAGCAAGGCAATCACACGACAGGATTCACTGGGAGAGGCACACTCAGGTACAAGAGGACACACAGAGCTGGCAAAATGAGCTTTTTCCCTGCTCTGCTGATCTAAATCAGTGTCCAGGATCCAAGGGAGGAGGAAAAGGCAGCTCCGGCAAGAGCACATCAGCCACAGACACTGCCAGAGCCAGCTGCACACTTCAAACCCCCACCGCACCCAGAGGGGTGGGTTGGGAGCTCAGGAACAAAAACCCGGAGGAAATGAAGCTTTACTAGTTCTGCTGTTCATGGAACAACTTGTTTTAATAAAGAAAAATTACTGAAGACATCCAAGAACAGCAGGTTCAGGTTTCAAAGCTGAAAATAAGTTGGGGTCAGATGCAAAAAGCAGCCTGCAGCAACACCATCTGTTCCTCGGGACAGCTTTTATTTCCTTCCATCTGAGCTAAGGAAAATGTGGGTTGGAATTTCAGCTATTTTACTTTGCTCTATTAGGCTCAAAGCCTGCATCTACTACAGATTACTGCTGGGCAAGAGGACTGTGGTAGAACACCCAAATCTTTGCTCTAAGACCTGCACTACTGAAGGTGCAAATCCCACCCAGGAGGGCTGTGGACACGTTTAAAAGATGCTGATTCCAGGCCAGCTGGGCAAACTCTGCCATCCCTGAGAGGGTCAGACTCATTCATCTGATTCTCTACTGCATGGCACCTTTATTTGCTTCTACACTTGTGAAATAGAAATGAAATTCCATGTCAGATGAAGAACTTTCAGACACTGCACTCGTTTCTGTGAAGTCTGAGTACACAGGGTAAGGGACAATGACGTTGAGCCACCACTTGCACTGGGTATGACCAACTAGGAGGAGTTCAAGGCCATCATCTCATCCTTCATCTCTGGGCCCTGCAGTACTTTTAAAAAAATCTTGCTATTTTAGCACTGAAAGATATCAATATCTATGTTCTAAATCACTAACAAAATACATGGAACACGAAAGATTATCTATAAAGCATGTTCAGAAGAGGGGAAAAAACGTTTTAGCAACCAGATCAAAGTACTGCCATGATGGACTATTCTTGATATTGGCACCAATTGCCTGTTTGATCACAGATCAAGCACAGATTATCTGGCTTTTGACTCCCATGAAGAAAGCACAACCAACATTCCTGCAGTGTTATAAAATTTGACATTTACTACATATTTAAAGGTCAGGATGTGAAGAATGCTCTAAGTGAAAAATGAACTGGTGCTGAGTTTCACAGATGAGTTTGGAGGGTTTTTTCAAAGTCACTCTATAATAAGTTTAAAGCATCTATTTCTAAACCATGATGTTCACCAGTTGCTCACACCCATAAAAACGCCTTATTCCTAAGCAAAGAACACACTCCATGAGCACCAAGACCTGTTTGAAAAGGGCACACACCTTCCACAAGGTGAACTTTGGAACACACATGGAGTTCCCAGCTCTGTAAGACTGACTATAGCACTTCTCAGCAAGCTGTCGAAAATAAGAGGGTTTATTCTGAAGAGGCTGCTCTGACCCAGAGCTGCTGTGTGTCTGCTGTCACTCTGCACAAACAATGCCCAACAACTCCAGTCACTTCCAATTTCATGCAGACAACAGCAAGCATGACAAGTGTTGGTACCTGTCTACTTTAATATTTGTGCTGATACAGACTAATATAGATAAGGACTACCCCAAACTAGGACAAGGACTTGAACTCAAACTGGGACAGAAGAATCACAGCCTTCACTGAGAATAATTTCATGTTTGGAACAGAAAGAGGGAAAAGTTAGGTAACTTCAGATGACATTCCAGCAATAACATGGATAAACACAAACACATACACAGTAAAATTAAAACAGTGAATGCAGAAGTTAAAATATTCGTTGAGGGAAGCATGTTTTGAAAAAAAATGCACACCATGCAAAAGAGAATGACTTGAGAAGAGACAGCCTATTGTCATCCTCAAAAGCCACAAGCAATAAAAAAAGTCACAAGTTCTTACAGCTCTTCCAACTGGCTCTTATTAAAATTGGAAAAGGCATACCAAAGTCAAGGAAAGAAACCCCACACATTTCTCCCACAACTTTGTGCAGCATTGCTTATTGATATGGGGGAAACTGGATTTTCCCTCTTCAACCTCGAGCAACAAACTGCAACTGCTCAGCTAACCTGTGACCCAGGAGAGAAGCAAAGACCTCAAACCTACTCAGAAATCAGCCTCAGCAAGGGACCCCAAAGCACCTGGATTCACATGGAATGGAGAGCAGGGGCACCCAGCAGCTCCTGAAACCCTTCCTGCCAAACCAACAGCAGAACTGGGAAGGTGACTGCTCCTGTCTTTCCCAACACTCCTGCTGTGCTCCAACATCCCCCTGCAGGAAGCAAACAGCTCCTGGAACTCGAGGCCGGGGGTGCCCAGGTGAGCTGGGGTGCCCAGGTGAGCTGGGGTGCACAGGTGAGCTGGGGTGCACAGGTGAGCTGGGAGTGCTCAGGTGAGCAAGAAGTGTCCACGTAAGCTGGGAGTGCCCACGTGAGTCGGGAGTGCCCAGGTGAGCCGGGGGTGCCCAGGTGAGCCGGGGGTGCCCAGGTGATTGCTGGGTGCTCCTGGTGTTCCGAGCTGCCACCGTTCCATGTCGGGAGCAGCCGGGCAGAGGTGCCTCGCTGGGCAGAGCTCAGCCCTGCCAGGCTGCCAGGGCTTGAGTTACACTGGCAGCGGGCAGCGCTCCACGTGAGCAGGGAACACCAGCCGAGGAGCAGGATTATCTCAGCCAGCCCAAACCAGTTCCTGCACAGGCAGAGCCCTGCCAGGGCTCCCTTCCAGCCAGCGCTGTCATGGAAAGAGCGCGGCTCTCCCAGGGCGCTGCTGCCCGCACAGGGAGTGCCCCTGCACATTTATTTTAAGGGCTGAGAGACGAAGCTCTGCACCTCCTGAATGAACCCTGGACTTCTGTATCAAATCACTTCATTATTAATAATGCTTGGGCTGAAAAGCAGGAGTCGGCAGCTAAAAATATTTCTATTGTTCTGGTTACACTCACTTTGGCTTGTGAAGTAGTTGAAAGGTTGCCGAGTTACTGGAAAAGCAGGAGCTGGGTTACAAGCTGGAAATAAAATTTGCAAGCAGCAATTCCCAGTATTAGAGGGACCTAAAGATGCTTACAAAAATAAACTTTGACTGTATAATCTCTTTCTGATAAACTGCTAGATTATAAAAACATTCAAAGAGAAACAGAACTAGAGATCTGCCACATTTGGTTAGTCCAACAGTCTGAATATTCAGGGTTTTGTTAGACAGCAGCAGGTACTTCCAAATAATTGAGAAAGAAACCTGCACATACCAGACAATTCAATAAAGCAGCTAGAGGAGAAGCTTCCTCCCAAGTCCCCTCAATTAGCTCTTGCTTTCTGTTCTGCATAGAGCCCAAAGATTTATAACCCTCTCAAAAGCATTTTTAATCCTGCCTTATGTAACTGTGAACCTACTTCACCATTCCATCTATAATCATGCAATCATTTCTGAACCTAAGCATCTCCCCAACTGGTTAATATTCAGAAGCAAATTCTAAAGACATGTTTTACATACACTGCAGACAACTGCCATTTGCTGCCTTTACACTTAAGAAGAAAAAATTTTTCTTCCAGCTTTAAGAGAAGAATGTGCCTTCTCCCTACAGCCCATTGATCTGTGTTTGATCTGTGCTTGATCTTCTTCCTGAAACAGCTTCAAGCAAAAAAGAGAAAACAAACCAATCAACCCATGCACAGTTTAGGAATTGCTGCTGGTAACTTATGGCCAATTTCACTTATTCGCATAAACCTCACAATGTATTCTAAACCAAAACATACTTAGGTCCCTATATTTGGAGTGTATTTAGTGGCTCCTAAGGGTTTGTTTCTACCTTCTACCCAATTACTAAACAGGTCCACAAAAGCATGAAATTTGAAGTTCTCCTACACAGAAAATGAAGCAGAGACTACATATACATTGAAGTGACTAGAGCTGAACTTTATTTCCAGTTAAAGGTATCAGACAAGGACAAGTTCATTCCAACTGAGACGTTTAATTACATTCCCATGTTCTCTTTATTTAGGACTCTGTTTTTCTCCCACGTGGGATGGGGATATCACCAGTGACCATGCCTCCCTCTCCACCTCAAGGAGAAGAAGGAAGAGAGATGAAAACAAAGGCACAGAGCCCGGGCTGACAGGGCAGGGTGAAGGCACTCACCTCCTCACAGACCTCGCGCACGGCGGCCACGCCGGGCTCCTCCTCGGGCTCCATGCCACCCCCGGGGACAATCCATCGGTCTGGATGGCGACTACTGCTCACCAGCAGCACCTGTGGAGAGCAGAGCACAGCTCATGGGGCACCCCCAGCGCTCCCTTCAGAGCCCAGCTCCAGGACAGAGACTGTCCTTGTGCCTCACGCACCCCCAGACACCACCCAGCCAAGGCAAGGCTTTGCCTGTGTTTGCTGTTCCCTCAGCCCCATCCACACAGCCATGGAAATTCCAGGAGCAGTGACACCGAGGCACTCCCACACTCTGAGTTACTTCAGCCACTGCCTCTCCCTGCTCTGATGCATTGTAGGAAAAAAATGTCCTTGCACATCAAAACACTCATTAGCACTGGACACAGCATCACTCTCAGTGTGAGTTCACTGCAGAGTCCTCACAGCTCGGGATACAACATGTTGCACCTCGGGCAACAACAGAAATGCACAGATGCTGCCCAGCACCTCCATCCTTTGCAGAAATATCTCGATTTAGTTATCCTGGTGCCTTTGGCCTCGCCTGTCCCTGCAGTTCTGTCACTAAAACAGGGACATGTCCAGGAACTCCCACTGCACTATTTATGTACAATTGCCTGAGCACAGATTCTCAGCCCCACAGTTTGTTACTTCTTTTGCAGTAGGCACTGAGGAGTTCAGCTCTGCAGCCAGCACTTGGTTACTTTTGGTTTAGAGGAGGTTGTTCAGTGAGGTATAAGCAAAATAAAAGCCTATATTAAACACATTAAATTTAAACCCCCCTAGGAAAGGGTTGCACAGAAGGACAGACTTTTGTGAATAAGAAAAACGGTTCAACCCTCTTACCAGGAGGGATTTGCCATACACATGCTTTGTGGCAGGTTTTCTCGAAACAGTCTTTTTTATTCCAGGGTAATTCTGCTCTGTAGAAGTTCAGGTTCTCATCTGCCACCTCCCAGCAAGACAAACTCTAACTAACACTCTCAACTGGCTAGAGATTGTCCCAAAGAACAGTGAGACACTGTGCTCATTAAATCTACTTGCCATACATCCACGAGCAGAGATGGAAACTTAAAACAACACTAATACTGTTGTCCAGCTCTCTAAACAAAGCTCGTTCATTAGAGTCATCCTGCTGTACTTCATCATTTCACTGGCACAAAGCTCGCAGCCAAAGCGACTTGCTCCAGAAACTTTCCAACATACCAGTCCAATTAGGTTCCAGGCCAGCTGTAACAGTGTCAGACATTTGGGAGTTACACTGTGGAGACACTGAAATCCCAGGCTTTACTGGGGAAACACTGATTTGCCAGTAGGATATGAAAAGATTTGCACTAATTACCCAAAGGAATCTACCTACAGAAGTCAAAACTAAATTTTCAAAACAAAAACAAGCACAATATTTCCAGGGTTTTTCAGTTGGTTTATCTTGAAAATTCTCATCTGCCAACTGACCAAACTCATACTGGAAATAAATGAAGCTTCCACAGTTCCAAGTGGGATGGTGCCTGCCCCATCCTCTGGGCAGGCTGTGACAGAATGGAGTTTGCTTTACAGTGACATTGCAAGTATTTGGCCCTCTCCAAGAGGAAGGCAGAATTCCTTTCCCCAGGCATCCAGTCCACGTAAAACACCACCAGAAAGCCATGCCTAAATAGGGAATGTAAACTTCATTCATCCTCAGAGCCCTTGGGACAGCAGCCAGTCCCTGCCAGGCCATCCCCAGCCACCTCACTTTGCCACTGTGCCTCTTCCTAGCACAGTACTTGACTTCTACTCCATCCTCAATGGTCATCCAGAAGAGCTTGGACTCAAATTCCTGATCCAGGTCAGTCGGTGATTGTGAGGACGAAGCTGAAGGAGCAGGAACAGCCATTTCAAGTGCACCTTTGCTGCCAGGTAAGGAAGCGCCAGCTCTGCCACTTCCCATTGCAATTCAGAGCTCCAGCTCAAGGAGGGGAAAAAAAACCAGAAAAATACCAAAAAAAGCTGCAGAAGCAGATCTTTGAAACTCAGCACAGCACACCTCATACCCCTGAACTCCTGCCACCTTCCAGGCGTGAGAACAAGGACCTGCTACGGAACCCTGGACACAGACTGCTCCAGGAAACCTGCTCAGGCTGAGACAATGCCTCAGCAACACACCAGGAGGAACTTCTGGGTGTAAACAATGGTTTGAGGCAAAGTAAATTAACTTCAGCTGCTCTGGCAGTTGAGCATTTTTTGAATAGAATTAACATGAACAACCCTTGCTGGGAAGGAAAAACCTGTCATTCTCACACTTTTATGTAATCAGACTATTTCCTGTTTAATAAAAAGGAAATCCCATCAAGAGAGAGCAGGAAACAAGCCCTACAAGGTCATTCTTTTAAAACAACTTCAAATAGGATATTGCTACCAATGAGCACTCCAAAGACAAAAGGACTGAGTTCCAAATGGGGGGGAGACATTGCTGTGTTGGAAAAAAACCCCACACTTCCAACATCAGTCCTGGATCCTGATACATGCAACACATTCAGAGGGATCAAGGAAAAAGTTGTCATCATCTGAATCCCAAAAAGGTTTGGGTTGGAAGGGACCTTGAAGCCCATCTCATTCCACCACCTCCTAGTAGACCAGCCCAGGGTACAGCTGGCTTTTTAGCTCATTAACTTCTTTATTACATAAATAACTTTTATTTTAATACATTCTAAAGTAGTTAATTTAATCTAAACAGACATCAAAAAATAAACAAAAATTTACTTATGTTTTTAAATCAGGCTAGAACACGTAGGAAGGTCAGACATTTCCATTTTATCCTTGCCAGGCAACTGTGTTTAAAATGGCTACAGAGACTCTTGGTCTGCCAGAGATTTTGGAGTTGGATTTTGGAGCCACGTCTTGCAGACTTTTTGGAAAAGCATTTGCAGGTAACAGGTCACATAGCCAAGTTGTGTTTTCCAGGATTTCAAAGACAATTATGTCATTTCAAAGCAGGGAAATGAGCAACACCAGCCTCTCTGAGGTGCTGGCCCTGCTGAAACTCTCCCACACAATCCTCCACAAAAGAGAAAGTTTAGAAAAATAAGCCAAGTTTGAAGTGTGCAGCAGGGGCTCCAAGCAGAGCCTCATGGCAAGAACTTTCAAAGCTGCACACAACAAACAAACCCAAACAAACCTGAGCAGTGCTAACCCCGCCTGGAGGAGACAGGAAACACATCAAGACATCTAAGGCTGCCCCCACAGCCACATGGAAAAAGGAGCTCCATGGAAAAAGGGGTGAAGGGGTCCCCAAGGTAAATCTGGACATCCCTGATACACAAGGCTGACTTTAAAACCTACACAAACCTGCTGTATTCACATCGAGAGGGTTTCTGTCTTTTTTCACAGGAATAATGGGGTGTTGCAAAGCAAAAACTGGGCAGCCAGGATCAGGCAGAAAATGAATTGTGTTGCCATTTGTGGAACAGAGGAGCAGAGATTCCCAGGTTCTTCCACGCTATGGTGGACTTAAACAACATCTACCACCCATAAATAAAACAAGAGCAGCTACACCACAAGGAACAGGATTCCTCGAAAGAAGCTCCACAGCAGACAGAGCAGACAGAAAGGGCCACAGCACTGAGAGAAGCTGGGCCACAGTGTGAGTAGAAAATGAGCTGAGAACCTTCCAGACTTCCAGGAAAAACCAGTGCTACCTACCTGTGCCAGCCAGGGCTTGGAGAGCTGGCAGCCAGCAAAGGGAACAGCAGGCAAGATGTTAAATCCAGGGTCTGGCCCAGCAGCCTCCTGCTGCCAGGAGCTGATCCATAGCTGCTGGCTCCTGACACAGCCTCTGCACTGCCTTACAGGCTTCCCCTCAATATTTTCAGGTTTTCCCTCAATATTGACATGCTTTATATCAATACTGTCTTGTTTTCTATCAACATTAAGCCATAAATCACATCATTTGCACAGTGACTGAAGCACAAACCTCTCTGCACTGCACCTCATTTCCCACTCTAGCATCATTTATCAGAGCACAGCGTGCAAGGGAACACTGCGGCAGAGGCTGCAGGAGCTGGGAGGAGAAGATGGCTGACTGCAAGGCTTTTGCTGTTCCACCTGCCTTTGTCTCCAAGTTTCAGTTTAAAATCAGTGTGTTCTCAGGAGCTGAGCTGTGCTCCCATGTCCCCCATGGCCAGGCAGATCCCAGAGCTGCCGCTGTGTCCAGCATAACAAACACCTTGGGTGCCTCACTCAAAATCAACAAACATTCTCCCAATCCCCAAATATCAGTACTGCAATGTTTTTCTACCTGACAAAAGTGAGATGCTCGTTTGACCACACCAAATCACCTTTAAGCCCTATGACCAGCTAGGGGTGAGAACTGGAGGAGCAGGGGGGAGAAGAGGGACACTGCTGTCACCAAAGCTGTGCAAAATTAATCTCATTTCCCCGGCAGCAACACAGCCTTGATGAGTCCCCAACAAATCACGTGTTTTGCCAAACTGCAAAGGCAGGACGGCCCCAGGGCACAGCCAGGGCTTACGGGAGGGCTTCTCCCACCCTCTTGCTATTCCAGGCACGTTCTGGAGCTCGCACATGGTAGGAGTGAGTCCAGCCCGCGGTCAGCAGGGCTACAGCCAGCCCTGCACCTGGCAGGGTCAGCAGCTGGGACCACAACACACACTCTTACCAGCCACAGAAATCCCTCCCCTGCCCATAACAGCCTGTCCTGCCAGGAGCATTCCAGCTCCTCAACAGGATATGTTTCCTTAGACAAGTGTTATTTTTGCACATGCACCTGCACCAGATCCGTGGGATAATGGGATTTAACCAACAACGTGGGATCCAGGAGCTGGAGGTGGGAAATTCACGGCAGGACGTGCAAAAGGGAAGGGATTCGCACTAGAGAACTTGACAAAAGTAAAGCACAAGTTTTGGAACGGGAGCAAGAGGTGAACTGGAAGAAGTTCAAGTCATTTCAAGTGCTTGGATCGCACCTACAGTCCTATAACCAGAGAGGAAAAAATACAGCAGATTCTGTTGGTTTTTAGGCTGCTAGTTAGAATAACAATAATAAATCACCATGTACAGTGCTGCTGCTCTGGCTCCAGAACTCCACAGGT